TCGTCCGTGATGCTCCAATAACTGGAGCCCGTACATTCTATACTGATGCCAATAAAACAGGGAAGGCAGGTTACAAATCGGAAGACTTGGGTAAGGTGGAACAAAGTCCTTATGATTCTGTCCAGAAGGCAGAATTATATGCCATTCTTATGGTGCTAAGGGATTTTAGAGAACCTATTAATATAGTTACTGATTCGCAATACGCAGAAAGAGTTATTTTACATATTGAAACTGCTGAATTTATACCTGATGATACAGAACTAACCTCATTGTTTATCCAGGTTCAAGATTTGATCAGGAACAGGCTCTGCCCTATGTACATAACACACATCCGATCCCATACGGGTCTGCCAGGTCCTCTAGCACAAGGTAATGCAGACATTGATCAGTTATTGATTGGTAGTGTGCTACAAGCCTCTGAATTTCATAAAAAACATCATGTTAATAGCAAGGGTTTGAAGAAAGAGTTTTCTATTACATGGCAACAGGCTAAGGAGATTGTAAAGAAATGCCCTACTTGCTCTTTCTATAACCAAACGCCACTGCCAGCAGGGGCTAATCCAAAGGGCACCCATAGGAATGAAATCTGGCAGATGGATGTGTTCCACTTTGCAGAATTTGGCAAATTGAAGTATGTTCACCACACCATTGACACTTATTCAGGCTTTCAGTGGGCAACTGCTTTAAGTTCAGAAAAAGCTGATTCAGTAATCACTCATTTATTAGAAGTCATGGCTATCATGGGTATACCTACACAAATAAAGACGGACAATGGTCCTGCTTATGCCTCTAGGAAAATGAAACGGTTTTTTGACTATTACAATATCAAGCATGTTACAGGTATACCATACAATCCTACAGGTCAAGCAGTCATAGAAAGATCAAATCGAACTATAAAAGATATGTTGAATAAACAGAAAGGGGTGGAAAACACCCCCAGAAATAGGTTACATAATGCTTTGTTAACCTTGAATTTTCTTAACGCTAATGAGAAGGGGACAACGGCTGCAGAAAGACATTGGATAATGGAAAAGTCTACTGAACTAAATCAACCAGTTTATTTCAAGGATGTGCTGACGTCACAATGGAAGCCAGGAGATGTGCTGCGTTGGGGAAGGGGTTTTGCTCTTATCTCCACAGGTGAGGAAAAATTGTGGATACCATCAAAATTAATAAAGGTTTGGTTTGAAGAAGAGAAGCCACTTGGAAAAGATAAATAACAATTATTCACAAGGACGGCGAGCATACTGATGGTAAGGAATACAGACAGGTTGGGGGCAGGATTCTTTTCTTATCTCCACAGGAAAATACTCATCTTCAAAGAAATTAAGGGACCCTGAATATTTAATTACTGATGGATGGACACATTTTGTAAGTATTAATTTTTTATATATATATGCCTTATTAAACATTTCTTTATAAATATGTAGAGCTGGTTTTGAAGTTGGACTCTGGCTCAGTCCCTCTCCAATTCCAAGCGTGTTAGTAAGAGAAAAACCCAGAGTTTCTGGAGTTTCTGTCTCATGTCAAGAGCCATGGTATGGGACAGAAAGAAATATGAGTTAGAAAACATCTTTGCTTTTCTTCATATCTATCATACTTCAATATACATATTGAATATATCTAAAATGCCTTTCATTGAATATATATATATGTCTATATGATTAATGTTTAAGTTTTTCACAATGAACAAGGAGTTTTTCTTGAAGTGACATTTGAAGTTTCCAGGAAGAAGATGGTGCCCCACAACAACAACTCTACCTGGTTGATATGACGTCATGATACTGACAGCCCTACTACAAGACCTGTTTTGGGTACCAGCTGCACAAGACGATCCCAACTTGGTTAGCTGAAATGGTGCACATCTTGTACAACATTCTGGCCAGACCTCCACAAAATACTCAAGAGACTATTTGCAATTTTAAATGACATTGATCTTGAAATTTAACCATCATTTTACTTTCACAGGATCCCCCAGAAAGAACGTC